TGAGGACAAAACTTCACAAAATATAGCAATTAGATCTCCATTTTATTTTGTTAGATCTTTAATCCTACAACTTTCTGAATTTGGCAAGTAGGTTTCAATTGGATGGAAACTGATGATTTTGTTAGTCATAATGTCTTGCATTTGAATTATATTTTTATGTTACTTTTATCACCCTGTCTATTTCTCTACAAACATAAAAAAGAAAATATAAAAAGAGAGGGAAAAAAACGTAAATAGCAAGAAAGTAGAAAACAATCCACTCCCACCGGCCGAAAGAATCCCAAATTGCAAGGTCTTTTTCAATTATAATTAATTGATTAATAAGAAAACTTTTGTTGCAAAAAAAAAATTGAATTAGGACTTTATTTTCCTTTGGATCCTTATATTTCACTTTGTTGCTTTTGATGTTCGAATAATTTCGTAGTATTTCTTTTCTCACATGAACATAAACACGAACACATAACGCATAAATTCAGTTGAAAAGCAACCCATTCCCAATAGGCCCACGCTATCCGAATAACACACAGAGAGTTTAGGGGCATTTTGGAGATTTTCATAAATAGAATTTTAACCATCCAAATCCGAGAGAATCGATTCTTTATTCCATCTATGATTTTCTTTTGACTACAATTTGATAAAGCTATTTTTTATCTACATAAATATATATATTTTTATATCCAGGTATCCCAATTTACATTAAACTAAATCCTGCACCTCCAAAATCCATGCCCCTAGAACCTTGGAGGGGGTAAATCGCGGGATATGCCTCAACTAAATCACAAGTTCCCCCCATTGATTATACACTTCTGCGTACAAGAGACCCTCCTTCACAGTGATTGCTTCATACCAAATTTTTGGCCGCAGGTTCCCATCAGGAATCGAACTCTCCACCCTAAGCCAATGTTGATTAATCCACCAGTTGAGCTGTGCCCCGAGAGACTATTTATCTACATATTTCATTTAACTAATAGACACCGTCCAATTATCATAACTCATTTTTATCTATTAATAAATTAAACAGTTTATAAACTATGGATAATTGAAAACCCTAATTCTATTCTATCAAGAGAAATTAATTCATAGAAAATAAAATAAAAAACTTATGAATATGCAAGAATTATAAAAGTTCATCTCAATATGAGATACAAACATATTCTATCGTTGCAGTGATTCACTATGATAAAAAAATCACAAGAAAAATTTTCATATTTCATACTTTATCTTCTCCAACTTCTCTTTATTTTCTTAGGGGATAGTTGTAGCAAAGGCCCAGACCTTTAAAACATTACCAGACTTTTCCACAAACATTTGATTTGTTGCAACCTTCACCCAAAACCTTTCGAAATGTTGTGGCAGAGGGCCTTTTGGATGGTTTCCATCTACAATTTCATTAATTGACTAAAAATTTAATTTTGACCACATTTTAAATATTTTGTATAGGGCCAAAAGAAAAACATTCTATTTATCACATTAAATAATTACATTTGTTAAATTCAAAATAAAAAAATAAAACAAAAGAAAACAATCATCTTCTACCCCCACCCACATCTCAACCTCAAACTTTCAGCCACCATGGACTCTGGATTTTTGTACCACCACTATCTCCTCATCAACCACTAACATCACCACATAAACAAAATCCTCAAATCACATCACAATCAAACTAATTTCTATCCAAAAATCGCCTCTTACGCACGATTTTCTTACAAATTCGACCAAATCCATGGATGTCCATGTTCATTGCACCTCATAGGTCGCTCAAGCTCATCAAGACGCACCCATACATGTTCTCATAATAACAAACAACAAAAAAGAAAAAGAAAGTCATAGCAGTTTTTTGAGACGATGAACTCGCGGTCGACAAACTCATTTTCCAACGATTGTGGTGGTCCCCATGATCACGGATCACCTGTTCTAGCAGCCTCTCTTCAAGATGCACATATTCCAATCATGGGTCATCCGCAATTTGGGTGCTAAGTGGACGAATAGATTTAGACAATTCATATGCAAGGCAACCTGGTTTGTCCTTCAATTGAGGGTTCTACACTGCCCCAATAATCAGATTCAACTTTAATACCTTCAATTGAAGTTGATAATATGCTAGTGATTATGATGGGTGGATGGTGGTGGCCGGTGGCAGGAGGTTGGTTGAGGTGGAGGTGGCGAAAGTGAGGTTGCTGAGGGTGGGGGTGGGGGTAGAAAATGATTGTTTTATTTTTTAGTTTTAATTTAACAAATGTAATTATTTAATGGGATAAATAGAAAGTTACTATTTTTCCCTTCACAAAATATTAAAAATGTGATCAAAGTTAAATTTGTGGTCAACTAATAGAATTGTGGATGGAAACCATCCAAAATGTAAAGAACAAGAAAATAGAAATCAATCCACTCCCAACTCCCAAACCGCAAGTTCTTTTTCAATTATAATTAATTGATTAATAAGAAATAATTTGTTAAAAATGAAAAAAAATTAAATTAGGGCTTTATTTTCCTCTGTATCCTTAAAATTCGCTTTGTTGCTTTTGATATTCGAATAATTTCATAGTACATCTTTTCTTCTATGAACATAACGCATAAATCCAGTTGAAAAGCAACCCATTCCCAACGGGCCCACACTATCCGAATAACACACAGAGTTTAGGGGCATTTTGGAGATTTTCATAAATATAATTTTAGACTTTGCTTGATTCCCATTTTTTTTTTCAAAATACATTTTTCTTTTTCTCATTTTCAACCACACGCTCTTCATTAAAATAATATTACACGTAAATAAAAAACTTTTCATTATTTTTCAACCATACATTTTCCACCAATCTATTATTCTAAAATACTTTTCTTTTATTTATAAAAATGGGGTTCAAACACCCTGTTAATCAACCCAAATTTGAGAGAATCAATTCTCAACTCCAAGTATGATATTCTTTTGGTTGCAATTTGATTAAATTATTATTTATTTACATATTTCATTGAATTAATAGATATTATCCACTTACCATCACTCAACTATATCTATTAATAAATTAAACTATTCACAAATTATTGAGAATTGAAAAATCTAATTCTATTCTATCAAGAGCAATTAATTCATAGAAAGAAAACTAAACATTCAAGAATACGTAAGATTTATAGAAATTCATCTCAATATGAGACAACATCCCATTCTATCACTATAATAATTCACTGTGATTTAAAAAAATTTACAAGAGAAAATTTCATATTTTATCTTCTAACTTCTCTCTCTTTTTAATGATAATTATAAAACTCTAACGAAGACTTCCTATTGAGTGGACAAATTAGGTGACAACACTTAATTTTTTTTTATTTTAAATTGATTAAAGCATGTTCGAGAGTCATTTAAGTTATATTTTGAAATTTAATTATCACCGTTGTGCGAAATCGTATACAAATTGATATCTATGACAAGAGGTGTATAAAGGGTGGTAAGGGAGCAGAAGCTTCCCTCTAGGATGTGTGGGAAATTGAGATCCCACAAAGTTTCATTAAGAACAGCTTTGAAAATTTATACTTATAATTTCAATTTTATCTAATTTGTCCTGTCAATAGGAAGTCATTACTCTTTCAACACAAGAAAAGGAATTTTCTACACCCCTTTCTTGTGTCGAAGACTAGGAAGACGAATAATCCCTCCTAGAATTATTTGCTCCCCGCTTACTTATGCTAATATCTAGTCCAATTTTATGGCAATTGAAATCTGGCAATAGTAACATAGGCGCACCACTTCAATTTGGCTAAAAAAAAAAAAAAGAGAATAAGGGTTTTGAACATAAAGATTCCACTGACCTGTAAAAAGTGGGCCTAACCCTTGGAGATGCGGTAATACCTCTAACAAATCATTCCATCGAACATACTCCCCTCTGGATCTAGGAATAGCGACATGTACTAAATGTCTTGTCCAAGCCAAGGAACTTACGCCAAAGAGTCATCATAGAAAAAAAATATAAAAAAATAGAGAGAAGTCGGAGAAGATAAAGTATGAAATTTTCTCTTGTAAATATTTTTCATCAATTGCTACAATGGTATTAACACCCCATTTGATTCTCATTTTTATCAAAATATAATTTTCTCTCTCTTATTTTTAACCACACATTATTCATTAAAATAATATTACACGTAAAAAAAAAACTTTTTCTTATTTTTTATTCACACGTTCTCCATTAATATACTATTCTAAAATTCATTTTTCCATAAAAATAGGTATCAAACACACTCTAAATTTCAAAACATAACTTAAATGACTCTGGAACTTGCTTTAATCAATTGAAAAAAAAAAAAAAGAATTTAAGGATTGTCACCTAATTTAGTCAATGCTCAGTAGTTATTAAAATCAGATATTTAGTAGATTTTAATAAAAATTGATGAAATATATGACTAAAAAATTGTAGATTTTATAAAGTGCGTGGTTAAAATTAGTTATTGATTTTAATTCAGATTAAAATTTAGTATGTACCAAATATGGGGCTTAATTCAAATGAGAGTCAACCAACTATGAACGTGTGTTAACGGAACAACCTACGTAATCTGGCGGATTATTCTGGTCAATTCATCATAATCATGTTCAAAATCTGTACCACAATAAGAAAATCCAAAGATAACGACTAAGCTACTTGTTTATACTTTAATAATAATAAATTATCAATTTCGAATAATTATCATAACAAGTAATTTATTATAAATTCAAATAAAAATTATTATTAGTATCCATAAGCTACTTGTGCATACTTTAATAAATAATTATCAATTTCAAATAATTATTATAATAAGTAATTTATTATAAATTCAAATAAAATTTTTTATTATTATATTATTTTTTACAACTTATCTACTTACCCCACACTTTCTACATAATAGAGATTAGAAAAAATTAACTGTATTTTAAATTAATAAGTAGTAAAGTATTATGTGACATTATGTAATCCACCTACATGAGTTGTGAAAGTGACGAATAGAGCACGACTTATTTACGGGCCAATTTTTGTAGACGGTCTTCATTTGGAACGGGGATATTGAGAAATTGTGAAGAGGCATAAATAAATAAGAGAACCAGCTGGAAAATCATTCACAATTAATACGCCGGTTCGCGAGAAAATTCTCGGCGAAAGAGTACATCGACTTTTCGAGGGAAAAATCTGCAGAAAAAAATGGTGGACTCCGCGGTACCATTACTGAATAGAGAAGATGAAGAAGGAGGAAAAATAAGGTATCATGAGAAATGCCCAGGCTGTGATGTTGAAAAATTTAAACACTCCAGCAACGGTATTCCTCTCAAACATTTCTTCTTCATCTGGATTGTCACTCTCTGTGCAGGTGAAAATCTCCTTTCACAACTCCAATCACACACACATACAGCGCAAAAGATTTGATAAATGTTATTTTTGCGTTTAATTAATTTTTTCTTTTCAATTTTGTTCTGCCTTTATTGATTTTCTTTGTTTGTGAAGATGAGATGCTACGTGTAATCGCGTGGGATCCAAATACTGTAGTTTATGCTGTTGTTCGGCCTGCAGTTGTGTTTGCATTGCTTAAAACTTCTACTTACAAAAGTAATTGACACTTTCAAAATAATTAGGTACAGGGCTTGACGTTAAGCTGAGACTTATTTTCTATTAAAAGTTAATTTTCCACTTAAAAGAAAAAATTACCCAGTGGTCATTTTTATTTATTCATAATTTAAACCATTATAAATTCTTCCGAGACGGCATTCAAACGAACTCTCTTCCAAGCTCAACCAAACATTCTTTTTATTAGTATCTGCACTATGTCTGCTTTATGGGTTCTGAACAAGAAGATTGATAAGTTAGAATAATTCGGTTGAAAGTGGGACAGAAGCTTCCCCATTACGTTCATTAGGAATGTCTAGTTAATCAACTTTATTTATGAGTAAAGTAAATTTTAGTTTAAATATATATTGTCTACGTTTACAAGTTACCTTTTCTAAATTAAAAAGGCTATTAATAGTGAAATATTAAAAGTTTTAGAATATATTATGAAAATTTAAAATAATAAATAAATCAATTAAGAGTTATTAAGTTAAATTTTTTTATTCTTGACTAAATTATAGTTTAGTTACTTTGCTAGAATATGGTATTCAGGAGTTTATAATATCCCTTTCGTTTTATTCTTAAAATCTTTATAATGTCCTTTCAGGCCATTTTATATTTATAATTACTCTTAAGTAACAATTTGCGGAACATGAAACTATTTATAAGTACAGTTCATCCTAGCTTCCATAACCCTTTCATTGTGTTGAAATAGGTGTTCTTTCTGCAAATCAGTTTGTCTAGAAATAGGTGACTGCATCCCTTACATCTGCTGTCCTGTTTTGGAAAATGAACTTTCTAAAGTGTTGTTTTAGTCTAATTTCTCATGCTTATTTTCTTGTATGTAATTTCTATATGTATTAATTGCATTCTTATTGATCATTTCTTTTGGTGCAATTTGACAGCTTTGCCAATATCGTCTCTCTTTCCTTTCCTATACTTTATGGTACACATTTCTCTACTGAACTTGAACTCATTATTGACTATCATATCTGTCATCAATTTTAAATAACAAAAATTAAAATATACATGTGGCTTTGCTGTTTCTTTTCTGAATTTGTCTCTTTGAAAAATATGCACCTGATATGATAGATCGCACAAGTGCTGCTGTATGGCTAGGCATCATTTTTTCTGTGGAAAAATGATGAATTTGGAGCAAGTAGAAATAACTTTGTTCAGAGATATCAACAGTGCCTTCCTATAATTGGACCAGAAAATAAAGAAGTGCTCAAAGCTAAATGTTGATTCTAAAAGTGAGTTAATCACTTAACCTGAAAAGTCTGCAGTAAAAGCTAATTGTTGGTGAACTCAATGGAGTCAGTTAAGGCGATCCGGCTAATCCTAATGACGCTTAATTGGGTGGATTTTTAAATTAGATCGCAGCTTTGAAATACAATGGTATTTCCGGTAGCGGTCCAAGGGGTTCGTTTACCTTTGGACATGCTTCCATTGCTTTGCTGTTATTCAGACACATTTGGCATGGTGCTAAACCTTGTTCAGTGAATTTTTGGTATTGACCAAGATTTCATGCACACAACTAAAATTAAAAAATCTGAAGGGTCATTTTGTTTGAAACCCCCATAATGGCATGCGTTCTCTTCCACGCCACACTTTGAAATGCGCTATTCATGAAGAACTAAATGTGCCTTCATATCTTCTTAACCAGATATGTCTGGTTAGAGAAGCATGATTTACGATATTTCCTTATCTTCGCAACAAAAAGGCAACAACCACAGAGTGTTTCTCTTGTGCTTCTGTTGAATAATTTGGTTTGGGGGGGGGGGGGGGGGGGGGGGGGGGGGGGGGGGGGAGGAGGCTCCTAAAGACGACCCCAAGCACAAGTAAGCTTCATCGTGAAGCAAGATTCTACATATTAAGGGACTCAAAAGGTCTTTCCCTTCCATCTGTTGACAGTATAGAGAGGAAGGCAAAAGCTTCTGGTTGCAAAAATGCTGTGTAGACCTAAAGACATAGACTTTTAATAGTTAGAGATCAAATTGTCTGAGAAGTGGGCAGTAAAAATTAAATTATGGTTTCTTGCTCTGTTCACAAGTATATTTTTGGAATCTTAATTTATAACACCAATTGAATTTTACTGGTCCTCCTGTGCAAGAGCTTTGCTCTATCTGTGGTAGATCTGCTTCATATTTTCAATATGTGAAAGCCTTTAATGTTGTTACTTATCACCTTATATTTTAGTATCAATCATACGAGTTATGGTAGCATTTCTCATGTTTTTCCTACTGCAGATTAGGGACTTTCATATTGCAAAAAGGGAGGAAGATATTAGTTATTATGCTGGATATGTGGGTAAGTTTTTTTTCACCGTTTCGCCCTAAAATTGACAGTATTGGTGGAGTTGTTATTCACCACTTGTCTGACATTTATGGTAGGATCTTCATTCATGCTTGGAAGAGCTTTAACTTCTCTTCTATGGGGAATAGTGGCCGATAAATATGGTCGGAAACCCGTAATAATAATTGGTACACTTACAGTGTAAGAAATACTGAACCATGTTTTCATACCGCAAGTAATTTATTTGTGGAAACTGGAGTTGGTTATATTGATTTATTTTTTCAAATTCATTATTTCTTATGTCTCTTCCATTTGGTAATAATTTCAGGTTTATATTCAATACACTTTTTGGTCTTAGTGTGAACTTTTGGATGGCAATTACTACAAGATTCCTTCTAGGAAGTTTATGTGGAATTCTTGGTCCTATGAGGGTATGTCTATTGATTTCACATTTTAAAACTTTTTTGTAATGTTTCATTGAAAATTAAAAGGAGTTTTGTATCAAAATTGTTTAAATGAGAGACTTTTACCTACTGTCAAAGTGGAGAGGGTTATTGAATAATTAATGGCATCTATGGATACTAGGTTATTAATGGAAGACTACAGATGTTATTTCCTTCCAAAAGTTCCCCACAACTGATTGACCGAACGATCAAGATGACCAAATTAATCGAAGACTACAGATGTTATTTCCTTCCAAAAATTCCCCACAACTTAGTAAAAACTCTCAGCATATTGTTTCCTCCACTGCTATGGATTTCATGCTTTGCAGTTTGCTGTATAAATAAACGCAAAAGTGACAAAAAATTTTACTGTCACAAGATAGAAAAATAGGATCTGGATGGAGTTGAAGTTCCTTTAACAGATGCTTTAATTTCGATAACTCGTTGCTTGTGCCATGGCTTTGGACTCGGATTCCTCCAGTGGTATCCTGGAGTCTGCATCTAGGGTTTTCCTATTTGCATACGGTCATTACCCATATTTTTTATACCAATCTTTCTTGCTTTTTGCCTTTTGTGAATCTATATATTGATGTACCTTTCCATAGCTAAGGTGATAGATGGTCCAGAAATTGGCTAATTGTCAAATATCTTTGAGTTTCCTACTGCTGCATTGTTCGTCATAGTTGACTTATTTGTTTTCTTTATTAACAAAGGATGTTAGATTTGGTTTCATCAGTTGTTAAGGTTGGAGGATCGACTCAACTGGGTTTCTTTTCCTCATTTACTTTTTGTAATTGCTATCCATATTGTCTGGTTGAGCTTGTGTTACACAAGGAATTGTTATCTTAAATTTTTCTTGTTTGGTTGAGTTTACAGCGTTACATATGCATCTATATCTGAAGGCATAAATTTCTGCCTGCACTCTGTCCCTGCAGTGCTTTTTAGCTGGCTCTTCACCTTATAGTATTCCTGTGTTAATATTACCTGTGTGCACGAGCATGTGCATGTGCATTATGCATATGGGCTTATCATAATTATATAACCAGCACTGTATAGTTCTAAACTTCCAAGTATTCAGGCTTATGCTTCTGAAATCTGCCGTAAAGAACACCAAGCTTTGGGGATGTCAGTTGTAAGGCATTCAATCCTTCTATCCCCTTCTGAATGAATCCTGCCAGATTTGTTTTGAAGCATTAGTGGAGTGCTCATCGTTTGATTTGTTGTAGATAAGCACATCCTGGGGCGTAGGCTTGGTCATTGGTCCAGCTGTGGGAGGTTTTCTTGCACAGGTATTGCCTATTCTCTGCTGCTCGAACAGCATTGAGGATAATTTCTTTCCCCGTTAGAGAGTTCTTTATGCTATAAAATGAGATTGTTGATTACAGTGGTTGGATAACATGGAAGATACTGAAGGCAAAATTGAATAAGGAATCTATCCCTTATCTTATAGATTAAGTTTCAGATTGTGTTAGGCCATGCAAAGGTCTGGAGTTCTAGTGTTGTTGTCACCCATTTATGAAAACTGTGTGCATTCAAGGCCTTCAATGACAAAATTATTCTGGTTTTTACGTTAGAGGAATGTAGTAACCAAATTCATATAAATAAATCAGTCATTTCTTGAACAACTTAAGCTTTTAGTTAAGGTGGGTTAATAGAAGATTTGGAAAAATATATGAACTGGTATATAGATGCTATAGCATCTGTATCTCCTGAGTTTGCTGTCTTTCGGAAAATTCATTTCCTAACTTGTTCACCGGTCCTTTTATGCTACCATGTTGCAGATGGTGATTTATAATTACGTCCTAGTCCCCACAAATCATAGGTTACGAAACTCAAGGATCAGACAGTGAGGTTAAGCATAAATGTGTAAATAGGTTGATCAGAAAAGAATAAAGCATCTCAGATTCAGCTATAACAAGTCAAAATAGAATGGACAACCCTTTTAGTGCTAGTTCTGAAATTTTTCCATGCTAAAGCGTAAAAGTAGAAGATAACAGACAAGCTGCTAAATATATCGTGCACAAACACAATTTGTGAGAGTGAGGACTGGGGCTTGGTCTTTAGATGCTATTTTACAGGTCTGTATGACAGATGGAGGCACCTATTTTGATAACTTTTGGTTGTCAATTCATATAAGAATTAGAGTCGTGTTTTTCCTGAATAATTTGGTCTTCTTATTAGGGATGGGTTATCTGCCCCTGTGGTGAGATTACTTAAACTGATACCTTGCTAGTTCTTACCGCTGGTTTTTTCATTTAATCACCCTGTGTGGCATTAATTACATGGACAAAAAGAACTTTAGTAATATTCAGATGTGGGAGCTAAAGCAATCCAAGTTCTTTATTTCCCACGTTTTCATTTAATTTCTTCATCATCTTTATTCAATGGAAAAAAGCTCATCCATCAATCTTCTAACTTGTATAATCTTAGCCTGCAGAGAAGTATCCCCGCATCTTTTCTAAGGGATCTCTTTTTGGGAGGTAAGCCACACTGTAGTGCATATTTGTTCATTTCTTTCGGTCTCTGTTTATTTGTTGCAAACTCATTTTAGTGTTTCTGATGGTAAAAATAAATTGCAGGTTTCCATACCTTTTACCCTGTCTTGCGATATCAGTCCTTGCTTTGGTTGCGACAGTTATCTCTTGCTGGCTTCCAGTATGCTTCTCTTCCTTATTCTCCCCATTTCTTGCATGCACATGGTCCAAATTTTATCCCTCTTTTGCATTTGCATTATCATGGCCAAAGATGCGGACATGACAGAAATAGCTTAAATAAAGTCATCAAGCTTTTTAAGACTAGAATGCGAACTCATATAAAGTTTTTGCCTCACTGAGTGTTCATGTAATAACACCTGAAATGATTTTGTTGTCTTTCTCAAACAATGAATAACTGTAGGAAACTCTGCACATCCATAGCACGGGACAAGACGATACCAAAGCTGCTTTAGATGGAAGAGTTTATGACCCCAACGAGTCAGAAGAAATAAATGTTTTGGATTCCAGGCTTCTATCTTCCAAGTGGAGCCTCCTAAAGAATTGGCCCTTAATGTCTTCTATCATTGTATATTGCATTTTCCAAATGCATGATATGGCCTACAGTGAGGTAATTTGTTATTATGTTTTTCCGGTCTGTCTGTATAGAATATTAATTTGAATTAGTAGTTTGCTACTTGTAATGGTCAATTTTATTGTAGAGCCGCATGCAATGATTTGTTAGCTACAATATTATGAATCCTTTTGCTTCACAAGATTTTCTTCAATTTTCGATTGTGTTAATCTGCAATTTTAAGCACAAGAACTGATGAATTCATCTTGTTTGAAGTTGGTACATCTACACATCCAGCATGCTATAGGACTCCCTTTGCCGAAATCCATGCTAATAAACTTACAATTTCCATTTTCCTTCAAAAAATTATTTTTACATAGATTTTGCAATTTAATCTTCTGCCTAACACAAAAAATGCATACACTAGTAGTCAGCAAAGGTTCTCTTGGTACAAGTTTTATCCTTAGCAGCTTTGATTTACTATCATATTTTCTTAGGCATCCTTTTCTTTTGGTTAGATATTCTCGTTATGGGCCGTTAGTCCACGAAGGTATGCCGGATTGAACTACACAACTGCAGATGTAGGTGAAGTACTTTCGATTACAGGTATGTAGTTCATATTTTTCAAAAAATATGTTCATTCCTAGTTGCTAAGGATCTTCCAGTAGATGAATAAACCAAACACAGTGGCAAAGAAGGATTCACATTGTTGACCTTTATTTTTTTTTGGCTTAGTAACACTGACTCTCAAGAACGCATGACACATCTCAAAAGTTCTCGAAAACTCTTGAACACGTCAAAAACTTGTTTGTCCATTTGTATACCAACAGGGTGAATACTTATATTATATATGCTGTGTGATTGTGTATTGGATACTGTTGGACACCCTATACTCATATTTGTGTGCTAACTTTCTCACTTCATGAACGAAATTTTCATATTAATCATATGAATTCTATATCTACGAACAGAGGGATTACATAGGCAAAATCATGTAAATGTTTTGTTGCAAGGTATTCAAAGACTGAATAGCTTTTATTTTTGTGAGTAAAACAAGTTTACCAGCTATCATAAGATTGCATTGAATTTATATCAAACTAGCAATGATAAATTGATAATTGCTGTTTGCACATTCTAGATCAATTATTCAATATATTGATCAAGATAACCTGAGACGTCTTCTTTTAGATATTCTCTTTATACGAGCAAATGCAGATATGTTTTATCATATCAGTGCTTGGCTCTATCATATTTTTGGCCGAAATTCATTATTTGCTGTGTTTAATGAATTTTTTATCCTTTCCTTGATCAATCAGGGTTCAGTATGTTACTCTTTCAGCTATTTCTTTATCCATGGGCAGAGAGGATTTTTGGTCCCATCACGGTTTCTCGTATTGGAGCTGTATGCCTCTCAATAAAACTCTGATATTTTCTATTTTATTTCATTTGTTCTTCTTAGTTTATTGGTCATTTGTCGTTACAGATGGTTCTTTTGCAGGTTTTAACCATACCGTTGCTATCGAGTTATCCATTTATAGCACGGTTATGCGGTTCAATTCTCTCTTTGGTGCTCAATTGTGCTTCCATGTTGAAGAATGTGCTCTCTGTGAGTTCACATCGTTCAGTGATAAGTTCATTTATTTATAACTTAAGCTACTTATCTGAGTTTCACACGTGTTTGTACCTTATTAGCCGCTACTGACATAGCAACTTAAGGATGTTCCTTTTATTGAACGAACTATCTATCGTGACTAAATTGTATTTTATCTAAAATTTTAAATGCTATGGTAACTGACTTGTTCACATGGCATTTGTGTCTTGGGAGACACAAGAGGTGTAAATATGGGCCAGGTTGCCAGGGTCCGGGCGGCCCGGCATGCAGAAGCCTGACTCGACTATACCCTTGAGCTGTATGCCCTGCTGTGCCACTACACCTCTAGGGAGCCAGTTAGACATTATATGCGTGACTCTTATTGGTGTCAAATAATGGTAATGACGGTTAAATCAGCAGCGGCACGCACTAAGATTGCTAACTTAGAAAATTGACTCAGAAGAATTTCTATGCTTATAAATGATAATTCTAACTGCAACTACTAGCATCAGAAAAGTGAAAATGACACTACAGTTTGAACAAATATTAGTGCATATAGTTAGTGGCAGTAGGTGACGAATCAGGATTTGTTTGTGAGATATGATGATAATATGGTGCTAATAGGATTTGGGTAATACATGGAGACTTTTCAGAAAAAGAAAATCCTTCGAGCCATTCCAGTACTTGCTTGATTACGAGTGTTGTACATCTTCATTTAATGTTTTGTCAATACAGTATATGTTGATATACTAGATGTCGTAACATTTGAAACTGGAACAATTTTAAGTATTTCATGTAATATGTGGACTATTTAGGCTTATTTCTTTTCTGCTTGACTTGTTAAACTCTGCTAAATGCCAAAGTTCTTTTGTATGAGTTTTTAATGAACGAAGATGATTGAAAGAAAATTATCAATTTGATCAAAGTTGTGAACCAAACGCAAGGGACAATTCTTAACAAACAAACGAAAGAAGGAAAAACTCAGTAAAGATTTATTGCATGGATTTCTATTGTTTTCTACTAATTAATTCATTAAAATAATCAGATATCCATCACAACGGGCTTTCTAGTTATGCAAAATAGAGCTGTGGTAAGGTTCTTCCTCTTTTCCTCCTCCTCCTCCCCTCTCTCTCTCTCTCTCGTATTTTTTTATTTTGTCATTAAGGTTCTTCTTCTTCTTCTTCTTCTCTCTCTCTCTTTTGTTTTTTATTATTTTATTATTTTTTCCTCATTTGAAATTATTGAACTAACCATTTTTTTGGATTGACAAACTTTTGAATTCAATTTCAGTCCCAAGAACAAAGAGGAGCTGCAAATGGCATATCCATGACTGCTATGTCTCTTTCTAAATCGATTGGTCCGGCAGCTGGTGGTGCCTTGTGAGTTTCTTTCTTTTCTCCTCTTCTCTTTAGTTAATTCTAAGTCATAAAATGATGTTTTAAATACCAGTTTATTCTGTCTTGACTCTATTTGGGATTGCTGTTGGTATGTCATGAATTAAGGAAAGGAACAGGTTCTTTCCATCATCTATTTTTGCTTTGCCATAGATTCCATATTATCTCTGTCCTCCATAGTAACTCACTTCTCTATTTATCAGTTCTTTTCTCCTTCTCCTCCTCCTCCAATTTTCGCTTCTTGGTCCTGCTTTACTTTGCATCATTTCCATTGTGGCTCTATAGTTTATGCCATCCATGTCAAATTTGATGCAGAATTTAAGCATGTAATGTAATGATCAGTGCTAACGCTTAGAAATGTGCTCATTTTTGCCAATTTGTGTGACTCATTACTATGTATCTGAAAATGTGTGTATATACATAAATACACACATATGTGCTCTTTTACCTCTATTTAGTTGATTTTCTCTTCAATAATTGATGTTCCTCAACATTTGCAGACTCTCTTGGGCACAACGCCGTCAGAATTCAATTTTCTTACCAGGTATGGACCGTATGGTGACTCTATCCACACTTCTCATTTTAATCTAAAGCTACTTTTAGTTGAATGGCAGAATTACGGGATGCTCCTCCATAGGTTTTTTTTACCTGTTAATTTTGGACGTAAAATGATTTTTCCCCTTCTTCCTTTACATCTATTCATTTTCTTTTCTGAAAGTTAAAACAATGATAATAAATGATCTTACTGAGCTTAGTGAATAATTTGCACAAATACAAAGCAATTGTAACACTACATTATAAATTTATATTATCTTGTACTGAGACGGCTCGAGTATACCTCCATGAGTTGAGGTAGCCCTGATTGAGGATAAACTATGGGACAAAGGACTTAATTGGTAGAGACGTGCTGTGTTTCCATCCAGATAGGCTCTATTCATACGAATGTTGTGGTTTCACTAAAACTAACACACCGTTTCGTAGTTTCTAAGAATCTAGTTACTTTATTAGATGTACCTATGAATCTAATGGAACGGCGAAAAATGATTCAGGTAGTTAACCCATATTTATTGGCGAACCGACTTTATTTTGTTGTCTAAGATCCTTCATTTTTGTATTGTTGGTTTTAACAACAAATACCTTGTTATACTGCAGGTGTTCATATGGTTTTCTTCATTTTGAACATAGTCGAATTCATTGGCCTGATTATGACCTTCAAACCTTTCCTGGCGCTTCCCGAAGACAAGTTATAGTGTTCAGGAGTTGATCCTGAAGGTCGAGGAAGGACGAAGATGAAATTTCTTTTAATAAATCTCAATTTTCCTGAAATTGGTAGAAAAGATATTTCCTTTGGTTAAAGTAGGATTCAAATGTAGAAATTATATGTTGCAAGCATTGTTAAACGATCTCATCTAAAGCTTTAGCGGGTAGGAGGAAGACTCATCCAAGAGTTTAAGCTGGTATGGGAAGAGATTTGTGTCATATCTTCAATATTATTTGTGAATATGTACTATTCATTTCTCTTAGATGTGAAACATTTTATAGAGAAAGAATAATGCTATGTAATACAAGTGGGGCTAGACCACCTATGTGTACATTTATTTACAATAAATAAGATTTGGAGTAAATGACTTTTAATTAATCAGAGTTAAAATAAGTAGGCGATTGTTTTGAAGAAAGTAAAACTTGAGGTAACTTGGCTTGTTGATTCCCTTCCAGCTCTCTTTATTTCAAAATTACTTCAAAATGAGAGGAAATTAAGACAAAATTCATTCATGGCAAGTGTACTTCCACTCTAGTGTTGATGAGGTAACTCTAATTCAATTTTGTTCAATCAGCTGTGTTTTAATTTAACTATTACTATCGTGCGATGACTTTCATCTATTTTGTTGCGATAACATCGTACTCCATTGATAGAATTGGACGATGTTACTTTAATTGAAACTAAATTAAAGTACAATTGCCTGTTGAGACAATATTTAATTATAATTACTGATTAAAAAAACCTTTAGCTTAACTACTTACTTGACATTAGGGTGAAAAATAGACAAACCCTTCTAGTACATAATAATAATAATAATAATAATAATAATAATAATAAAATAATAATAATAATACGCCTCCATCCGCTCTAACCCTATCAACTTTAATTATATACCTTAATCCTATCTACAAGTAATAATGGAGCAACGAATGCACCCTTGGGGGGGGTGTATTCAATTGAAACTTTTTAAAACTTTGATGAACTTTTTTTAAGTGATGATTTCTGTGAATTTCGTGGATCTTTTATAGATTTTATATGGAATTAGTAAAAGTCTTTCGTAAATTTCTTGGACTTTTATTTTAAAATTTTTATAGGCTTTTGCAGAATTCGATAGATTTCTAAAGATTTTCATTTGAAATAGAATTCACGTGAATTTAGTACAATGGTTTGAAATTTTCATATACAAGGTGTTGCTTCTCACAATTTCCTTCTCATATAATAAAAATGAAAATTTAAAAGAATAAAAATTTAAAAGCTTAATTAAATAAATAATTAACAGAAGTATACATATATATGATAAACAATATATTTAATATTCAATATTATTAATATAATATACTTTTAAAAATAAATAAAAATCAATATATTTAAATTTAATTATAATTTTTTCATATAAAATTTTATAATTTAATAAAAAATAAATATTTTCACCAAAAAAATGAATTAAAAAAGAAAAAAAATTACAAGAATCCAATTTAATTTCTTTTATAGAAAATAGAGATAAAAAAAAGAGAGAGAAAGATAAATAAAAATAAATATAATCAATAGAAAAAAATAAATTTTAATCATACATCTAATGTTCGTAGAAGGAAAAATGAAATAAATATTGGAAAAAAAATCATCATCATTATTATTATTATTATTATTATTTATTTATTTATTTATTTTTTTGGTGAAAGTCTTCTAAAATCTTGTGATTAATGAGAACAAATTTTGAGCTTTTATATAAGTATTTTCTGATTAAAAGTTAGTACTCCAAAAACTTTTATAAAAGTCTCTAGATGTCATTAAAATTTGAATACCCCAAACTTATATAGACTTCTAAAAATTTTTAATTGAATACACCGTAATTTTTAGAGAATTTTTAAAAGTTTATAAAATTTTCAATTGAATACACTATGACTTTTAGAGATTTCGTAAAAACTTATAAAAGTCCGAATTGAATATATCAATACTTTTAGAGAGTTTCAAAAAGTTTACATTGAATTTTTAAAATTTTTTAAATCCCAAAAGGTCATTAAATGTCTTAATTGAATACGCCGCCTTTAGTTTATTGTTTTCAAAGTTTTCAAATATAAATATTTCCATAACCTATAAAACTTTGAAGCATGAGTAGAGTAAATTGTAAACAATACAAAATTGCTCGTTCATGTTATTTTATAGAAGCATTTGGGGTCATAAAGAGTAGTTAAGCAATTAAGAAATTTTATTTTTTTAATAAAGTACAAGAAATTATAATTTGAAAGAAATATAACTTATTCTTTTGTGAATTGGTGCATATTAAGAAAATCCCTCGAGTATATTTTGCAAGTTAGAAAATGATTTTTAACTACACGTACTCCAATTAGTGCATAATTGTGATTATCGGCGTTTAAACCTTCTACCAACTCGTCAATGTATTGGTTATTACTCGTGTCATTAAGAAGCTATTTTGTACGTATGAAGTTGATTAATGATATTAGACACTGAAAAATTAACTCAGAAACAACTTTTGCTTTAGGCTGGAGGTGGTCGTTCCAGTCAGTTCTGCCTTTCGGCTGGTCCAATGCAGGTCGACCAGGTCACCGGGCCTTGCATTTTTATTTATTTCCTTCTTTCTTTCAAAAAAAGAGAAAGAAAAGATGGCCGGAATGGGCTAGGCCCATCATAGCTTGCCATTGGGCCCAATAGAAATTGGGCCAAAAAGAACCATCTGCAAATACTGACAATCTCCAGCAAAAAATTGCAGAGAGGGAAAAGTAGTAGATTAGAAAAAATGGCGAATCCAAGGAGAATTTCATATTCCAATTCCAGTCAACTCCCAATTTCTGAACCCATTAACCAATTCCAATCCCAAACCCCACAAACTGCAGCAAACCTTTTAAATTCATTGAAATTCTTCCTCAAAAAGCCTCACGCAGTTCCATTTCTACTATCTTTTTTACTTTTTCTTACATGGGTTTCCCTCAGATTCCAACGCTATTCTTCCAACCCTTCATTTCACCAATCGGCGTATGATAGCAATGGGGTGGCTTTACATGGCGGTTATGATAAATATTCTGACGCTAATATAGTGAAATTTCCTTCGTTTTCTCCAATTGTAATGAAGGATAAACGCGGATGGTTGATCAATCCAGTTTCACTTGCCTTGGATGCTGCCATTACAGGTTCTATTTTATTTTTCTGCCAAAAATAAAATATTTGTAATCCAATATAATTTGTTCATGAAAGTTTCCAAGAAGGAGAGAAGAAAAGAAAATGCTAAAAAGTAAAAATGTTAATATTTGAGCAAGGTGCAAGTTTTATTGCTTAATGCAAAACTGTGAATCTGCTTTAGATTTTAGGTGGGAAAAGGTTGTGAGTTTATTTATTTTTCCTTCTAAGTTGTCATGGCAGATCGTTTATTTTTTTCCCATGCCAATAAATGTATACCTGTTTATGCCAAGGTCGGTATTGCTATAATTGATATTAGAGAAAGGAAAGGAAAGCGATGATAAAATGGTTAATGTACTAGCAAGCTATGTCGCGAAAACATAAAGTTTAGTAATCTGAGACTCTACTTTCTTGGTTTATGGTACAACAATAGGTACTTGGCACATGATATACGAGGGGCATAACAGTTACATAATTTACTTTACCTTGATAAAAGATTTGCATATTGTTATATTTTTTGCAAATGAGTCTTGCATACTTTTAATTACTGGTTGAATGATGAAAATGAAAGGAGAATTTCATTTGGATGAATCAAGAAACAATTTTAAAATCCATAGATAGATCCTTTAACTCTTAATCGTATATTATGGTTTAAATGTAACTATAAATCTGATTTCCAGGAATTGTTCAGATGAATAACTTGGAAACTCTCTTCGTGGGGATATATGGAGAAAGAAAAAGAAACAGTGCATGCTTATACATTTTATGTAATGATAAGGTGATATGTAGTCTGTGAACTTTTGAAACCTTAGAACAATTATATTTACATGCTATAGAAATTAAAATATATTATTAGGCCATAGATTCGAGAGTATGGTGTACTTAAAATCTGAAAATCATCTGTCTTATGAATCTAATATAGCCCCTCCACTCCTAGCATACAACATAAGAACCTGTCACAGGAATCATGGAATATACTAGTGCATCGTATTTGCTGCTGCGCATGCACACATAGCCCCCATTTTCTGAAAATGAAAATGGGTGAAATAGTATTTTTTTTTTTTAGAAAAATGAGTGGTTGAAAAAGAAGGAAATTTTTTCGATTTACGTATAATATTATTTTATGGAAGATTGTGTGGTTGAAAATAAGAGAAAGAAAAATAAAACGTAATGTAATTGAATTTAATGAGGGCCAAATGGTACCACTTACAAATTGGTTTACAAACACATGATATGGTACGATATGATTGGATTAAAATTGCTTCAACTTAAAAAAAAAAGAAACTTTCTCATTTCCTTTTGATACCTCATCAATTTGTAAAACTTTCAGTAATTCCTTGTGTACAACGTTAATCATTTCGAAATTTGCATGCAGGAATAGAAATTATAAATAAATTTACTCGTATGTTATTAATTTATTAGATAATTTTTTATTGGTTAAAGTTGAAAACAAGTTTTTCCTTCTAAAAGTAAGGAAAGAGTTACTGAAAAAAGTCCCAACTTTTTTACTTCTGTGTAAGAGTTAAGCAAACATTTCGAAATTTAGAAGTTACTTTTAAGTAGTTTTACTTCATTTTAGGTTTAATTAATATTCAGCCCGTGATGAAAATTGAATTTGGAGCCAATCCACATCTGTTAACAAATGCTCCCAACTCCTATCAATTCTATGTCCAATTCCTACTGCTAAGTAGGCAGGCAAGGAGAGACTTTCTTCTTCTAACTAAAAAAGCATAGGAAAATGGATTCTTCCAGAATTCCTTCAAAGATGCTTTTTTGGTCAGCGGTATGTTTCATATGTTGTAGTTGAGTAGTCGACACCATGTGTATGGAAGGAGAAAGAAGTTAAAATTTATCCATTCAAGTTCTATAAACATCTTGTTTATCAAGATAGACAAGTGCATCACCAAATGAGACTATATCTTGAAAGCAAAGACAAACTTCAACAACTAAGAAAATTCATAGCTTAGTGCAAATATATTCTCCTCAATTTATTTTAGGGAGAAAGAACCCTACTGTGTGTATATAAAATTATAAATAAATTGATATACATTATGCCTATATATCACACAGGATCACTTGTTCATAAAGAAAGGCTTTTCCAACCGGTTAATGCGGAAAGGAAAGAAATTAGCAGTTCTAGTGGGATGCGATTATCCAAATGGTTTGGATTTGACAGATGAAGATGGAAGTTCAGGGATGCCTACCGGTGCCAACATCATGAAGGCATTAAATTAAATGGCGGATTAGGCAGAGTCCAGTGAGATACTATTCTTCCACTATTCGGGCCATGGAACATTGATAAATACATGAAATTTGCCGAAAAAAGAGGAAGCCATTGTTCTGTGTGATTTCAAATTTATAACTAGTAAGTTCTGCATTGTTTTCTGATCAAGAAACTGTAAATAGTTGAGCCTGAACACGACACCACCTCTAGCCCATAAAAAAGTCGAGAACATATTTGTTGGGCAGTAATATTATTTTACACCTAACTATTTTCCACAAAATGAATGTGTTTGGTGGTAGTTATTATCTATTGTTGACCATTATCATAAAATTAGTCCGAGGACAACCTCAAACAAACTTTTAACATTTTTTTTGTTAATATTTCTACTACTGTACAATCTGTAAAAAATAAAAAAATGACATCAGAGTTGACTTGTTAAGAGTTCATGTTATAGGTGTGGGCTTCATGCATCTAGTAAATCACTTGCCAAAAGAATAAGTTTCAGTATCCTATCTGATCATTCTTGTCACAGCAGTGGCTTGATTGACAAAGAAAAAGAGCAAATCAGGGAAATGTTCCTCTTGTGCACGAGCTTAAATTCACACCATTTCAATCAGTACTCCAACATCTCTCATCCTGAACCAACACAAACACACCAGATATTGCCACGTACCTGCTGGAGATTTTTCGACCTGTTTCTAGTCTTATGTTTCGACTGCCTCAACCAGACCCTAGACCCTAACCTCAAGTCCGAATTTAGCACCAAGCCATTAAAGCCAGATGAAGGAAATTTACTTAGTGGGTGTAACGGATGAAATTTCTGAAGATGTGCAAATAATGGAAATGAAGGAAAAGCTTGAAGGAAAATTCAGAGCCTTTGAGCAATAAACAACTCGTGACAATGGCTAGGAAGATTAAAAATCCAGGGTTTTAAGCAAAATACTTGTCTATACTGCAGTGATTATAATGCTGATGCAGTTTTTTAATGCCAAGCTGAGGATTGATACACAAAGAAAAATATGTTGATGCGTTTGGTACGCTAAACTGGAAAGTGATGAACAGAGTAACTGACAAGATTTAGAGTACGTTTTTCTTTAATTCTGTCGAATTTTATGTATTTATAGGCACCAAATATGTTGTATAAAATTGATTTTCTTAATGTTTATTATAATAACAAAGTAAAGTATTTATATGTAAATTATATTCTCAATGTAAAATCACTGTTGTTTTCTTCTTGTCCGGTGCAAATTTGAGAGTTTCTGTACAAGAGTTTGCCACATAAATTAGCCGCCAATCATTTCAAGCCCCGGTGAAAGAATCAATGCAGCTGAAATAAAATTTAATATTTTGGCTAAAGCAATCCCTCCATGATATCGGTTTTCAGTGAGGAAGACTTCTACTAGCACATAAATTTATCTAAACATAAATAATTAGAGAAAATTATGCTCTTAAATAAATCTCATAGATTTTGAAATCCAAGAGAGATAACCTAACCAGTCTCAAAACTCTAAGTTGAAACTTTAGAATGGCAAATAGGAAATAAATTCACAGGGAAAGAAGTCCAAGTGAGTTCATAGATAGATAGATAGGCAACATGAAGATAAAATCCTAATCCTCTTACAGGGGCCGACCTGGTTCTGCGCAGTTGATACCTCAGTCGGCCAGTGGTTCTCTAGGCGATATCAGCTCCACCTCCTGCAAGTTTTTACAACGATTATGAAAATGCAAAGTGGAGTTTCTCAAAAATACACTAAGAATGAATGAAGGAATGTTGTGTATATGTGTTTGTAAGCCTCTAGTGGTTGAATAGCAAATGACAACTACTCAACAAGGCAGAGGAGGCAAATATTTCGTCTCCAAAATCTAATTGGAATGCTAAAATTTTAGGAATAATTATATTCACGGAAACTTCCAACACGCCACTTTACTTATAAAACGAACTTCTAGCACATCACACACTGATAAGATACAAAGCCTCTCTAATCTTTTCTAAACAAAATCTAAATCAACTAAAATCTGGAAAACTCAATCATATTCTGTTTTAACAAAATGCACTTACGTTGCATGCAAATGAAAACTTGAATTGCAAGATTTTTTAATGATTTGATAACTTATTAGAAAAGAAGTTATTTTACAGGTCGTACCTGGAAAACCATATTGTAAATTGAGTGTTGTATAATACAGGTCTAGTGAAACTGTGAAAGGATTGTTTCGTAATAGGACCTTGAGTGAATTTGTGTGGGATATAGGCAAACTTAACCTTTTGGAGTACCTAGCATATATCACAATGCTGGTCTAAAATGTAGGTACCTAATATTTGGGGAAGTACCTAGTATTTGTCGTGGTACGAAGGTTTTTCACAAACGTTCAAGCTGGAAATGCTAGGTAACCTTGATGACGAACCTGTCAAGAAACTTTTAGATGTTTGGCTTGCTAGGTAGACGATTACACTTATTTGTTGTTTTCAACCATTCTCAACATTTTTCTAATATGACCAACCAACAATTACACTGAAACGAGGGGCGACATGTTTGCAAATTAGCAAACAAAAAGGAATTTTTTTTTTAGGAACCTGTCAGTTTTGGAATTATAAGAAGCATAAAAAGATGTTAACCAAGAGGGAAACACCTAACATGGATTAATTTTCCACATCCTGCAAGGATTTATAAAAGTGCAAATGGAGCATTTAAAAAATACACGAGAATGGATGAAGGATTTAAGGCAAATCTTTCATCTCAACAATGTAATTGGAATGCTAGAATTCTAGGAATAATTATATTCGCGGAAACTCCCAGCACGTCACTTTACTTGTAAAATGAACTTCTAACACGTCACACACTTATCATGATACAAAGCCTGTCTAATTTTGTCTATCAAATAAAATCTAAAAAACTCAATCATATCCTGTTTTCATAAAATGCACTTATATTGCACACAAATGGAAACTTAAATTGCAAGCTTTATTACTGACTTGGTAATTATTACAAAACAAAGTTATTTTATTGGTCGTACCAGTCAAACCATATTGTAAATTGAGTGTTGTAGAATATAGGTCTAGTGAAAGGATTGTTTGGCAAGAGAAACTTGAATGAATTTGTGTGAGATATAGGCAAACTGAACCTTTTGGGGGTACCTAGTGTTAGAAAAATAATCAGTTACAGTAACGTGCAACATAGTAAAATGTAGAAATAAAACTTATCGTCCGATTGAGTCTTGTGACAGTATAATGTCTTAAAGTGAAATTGCCCGTCGATAACTGCTACGACCTTCGTGGACAATCACTCCCAAAATGCAACAATCATAAACCACTTGTGTAGTAATCACGAATGATTTTTCAGAACTCTCAAGTATACTCTACAATATATGTAAAAACCTGAGTATAAAAAAATTCATAATATGAGAAATCAAATTTCGTTTCAGATAATTTTCTGTTTTTTTTTATGCGTGTTTTTCCCAAAACGGGATATGAGTTTATATAGAGAAACTAGATGTAACTGTCTCCTTCAAGATAAGAAAATTTTGCAGAATTTAATGACTTTGTGAGTAACGGGTTGTTAAAAAAGGGTCACAAAATTTGGCTAGTTTGACCCATTAAATAATTTCGAAAATAAATAAATAAAATTTATTTTAGTCAAGGAAGCCCAAGAGCCCCCAAGACCCCAATCAAAGACTTTTTAATAATTGCATGGGGAGTGACCCAACACCCCGACGTCCCACACCCACGCCACATTTCCCACCACTTGGGCACCTCATTTAAACTGATTATTTGTTTCACTATGTTATATTTATAGTATAAATATATAACACCTAGCATATCATGAGGCTGGTATAAGATGTAGGTACCTAGTATTAGGTGAAGTAACTAGTATTGGTGAAATATTAATCATGTTATGAAGGTTTTCACAAACGTTCAAGCTGAAAACATTAGGTAGCCTTGATGATGAACTTGTCAAGGAACCTTAAGATGTTTTGTATGCAAGGAGACGGTTAGAGTCCTTGTCGCTCAACGATTTTGAACATGTCTTTAATTTGACCAAAAATTACACTGAAACTCCTGGGCAAACAGTTTGGAAAAATAAAAAGGAATCTTTTACAAAACTGGTTAGTTTTGCAATTAAAAGAAGCACTAAAAGATGGTTACCGAGAGGGAAACTCTTAACATCGATTAATTGTTTAGGAATTTCCTTTGAAATTGATGAATATTACTCAATTTCTCACAGAAATAAGGTGTAGACTTAAATCTGTACTAATCTTCCAAATGTATTGATCTAAAAAACTTGAAAAGTTGTCTGATAGATAGTCATTTTGTCATTTGTGTACTGAAGAGATTGAGTTGCATTGGATTTCTATGCAAGAACTTTTTGCACAAAATGATGTTTCAGACAAATATGCCTAACGTCAATTATCTTAGTATATTAGCAATGTAAAAAAGGTTATCAAATTCGTGTAAGTACCAACAATTATAAGCAACAAGTGAGCAACATAAATCAGAAGTTATTGTTGACACATAAAAATTCAGCCCAAGTCGAACAGCCCAAGGAGTAAAGCCCAATTGGAGAATTCCCAAAACGGATGGCCCAAAGAATGAAGTCTAACCGAACGAGTCAAGGTGAAGGCCCAAACAAGGGGCCCAAGAATGCGGTAACGCCATCGCCCAAGTTTGCAAGTCGCTCAGGATCTGAACGAATGGGTGTCATACGGTCGCCCAGAGCTGTTATTCTACTCTCGCCCAAACCTTCAAGTCGCCCAAGGTGTCAACAAACATAACGCATCGTAGTTATCAAGGAATGCAGTTATCAAGGCAGTTGTTAAAGTAACCTTATCACGTTCCACAACTCAAGGAATTCAATCGAAGGCAGTTGAACGATGAAAGATAATGGCAGCAGTTAAAAGGCGGTTTCATGACAAAATGGCCACTACAAAGGAAATGGGTAGTTATAGGACGATCAAGCAGTTTTCAGAGTAGTTAATCACAAAGAGATCGTCTATGAGGTATAAAAGGGAGAAAAGACGTAGAAGCAAAGGACCGAATCCAAAACTCTCGAACAGAGAATATGTAATTTTCATTTCTTTAGCTTTTAGACTTAAACACTTTCTGTAACTCGTGTGCTTGCGTCCCTTGGAGGCACGTTGTTTTTTTTTTCGTTTCCAATTGTAAAGTTCATCGCCAATAAAAGAACACCCCTTTTTGGGACTTTGTCTCAAGAGGTTTCGTCCCTTACACAATCGTCTGATCCCCTTTAATTGTTAGCGAGTTAACCCGCGCGAAACAGTCATACACTGGCTTCAGTACATCATCTTTGATCAGGCTTCGTGCTTGTTGCTTGAGACATTAGATTGTTCCGAACATTGCAATTTCATGTAAAAAATTTGTAGGAACATTTTCTTAAATTACATTAAATGCAGGTTAGCCAAGTCAAAGAATGTTTTTGCATCTGATGTCATAAGTTTTGTTCTGGGTAAAGTGTATTTACTATACTACTTTACTGATGTCTTGTTTGGGGTGTTCGATTGCAATTTTTTTTCATGGAAAATATTTTTCAACTTTAGAAAATATGTTTAATTTTCTTTGTTTTTAAGGAAAATATTTTATTTGGGTGGAGGTGTTTTTGTTTTCCTCAAAAGAAGGAAAACATTTTCTAAACATCTATATGAAATTGATATTCTCAGTGGAAAATCACTGCTGTTTTCTTCTTGTATGGTGCAAAATTTGAGAGTGTACAAGAATTTGCCTCATAAATTAGCCCGGGTCATTTCATGCCTCGCTGAAAGAATCAATGCAGCTGACTTCAAATTTATTGAAATAAAATTTAATTGTTGGCTTAAGCAATCCTACAAAATTTTGGTTTTAGTTAGGAAGACTTTTTAGATGATAATATATAGGAAGTTAACTGTATTACCTATAAAATAGGGTAGTTTCCACGTTATCTTAAGTTTGTTTCACTTGACTCAATCTCCTGGGAATTCTGGAAAGCTGTAACTTATAGTTGTTGTAACTGCAGCCTAATTTTTAGGTTCTTTAGTTTCTATATTTGCTTATTTAAAGGCACGGAGTCTATATTTTTTTAAGGAAATCTAACATAGAGCATTATTTTCTTTTATCTTGTTTCTCGACATAATATTTAGCCCGAACATAAATAATTATAGAAAATTATGCTCATAAATAAGTCTCATATATAATGAAAATCCAAGACATGTAACCAAACCAGTCAAAAGAACTCCAAGTTCAAAACTTTAAAATGTGCATATAGGAAACAATTTCACAGGGAAAGAAAGCCAAGGGAATTCGTAGATAGATAGGCAACAGGAAGATGAAATCCTAATCCTCATACAGGGGCTGATCTGGTTCTGCACAGTTGATACCTCGGCTCCGTCAGTGGTTCTTTAGGCAATTTCAGCTCCACCTCCTGCAACTTCTTACAATGATTTATGAAAATGCAAATGGAGTACTTAAAAAATACACGAGAGTGGATGAAGTAATGTTGTGTTGAACGTATTTGTAAGCCTCAAGTGGTTGAATATCAGATAAAAACAACTCAACAATGTAGAGCAACAAATCTTTCCTCTCAAAATTGTAGTTGAAATGTTAAAATTCTAGGAATAGTTGTAAATAATTATATTAGTGGAAGCTGCTAACACGATGTTTTACTTATCAAAAAGCTTTTAACACATCACACACTTATCGAGATACAAAGCATATATAATCCAAGCTTATCTAAAATCAAATAAAATCTGAAAAACTAAAATAATATTCTATTTTCCTAAAATACATTTTTATGTTTCCATCATAGAGACAGTGACGGAAATTCAGATTCCAAGACCATGTCTGTTGATTACACTTGAAAACTGAGGCAGCTGCAGATCTAATCGAGAAGTTTCGTAGGAATGCTACAAGATTAATAATCTCTTATCATCACTATCACTAAATTCACGTTTCCATCTATCCTAGACAAAATAATTTGAGTTCAAATTTTGTCACACAACATTATTACTTTTCTACGCAACCTTTTATCTGATATCAACTCATTAACCTACAAAATTGATTCACCAGTCGACACTATTTCATTTTCCTCCTTTTTTTTTAGTGAATGTGTTGAGGTGCACTAGCCACCACTTAGTTTTGCTAGGAGAATACTTAAAAGCTAATTAAGAAATGAAAGGACTGAGTGCTGCTCATAATGCTGACAACTAAAGAGGAGTATCTATGTTTCTTGAGAAAAGGCAGTAAATTTTGTTCCAATCTAAAATGAAATGCAACCTTGTAGTATAATGGTGCCTCTTTGATATGGAAGACCATCAGATGTCATGTTGTGAATTTTTTTTTCTTGTAGTTCTTATATCTGTCTTTTCAGTAAAATAAAAATGTTATGCAGTTAAATACCACTCCATATTTGCACCATTGATCCGAATTCCAAATACCAAAAATCTCAATCATTTTGCTTCTAGCTAAGGTATTCTTGGGCGATGTTTGGTAGTTTTCATTTCTAGGGATTTCAAAACTACACGTCTTGATGAATCAAATTTGGGTCTGCTTTGTTCCAGGGGAGAATCAATTTGAAAAAGAACCTGATAAGTTTCTCATTATTAGAAGGTTCCTTGGAAGATCCTTGTAGCTCTTAATTACAATTCCACCTCAATTTGAAATACATGGCCAAAAAACCCAGAATCCCAGCTCTTTGGGAAAACTTTGTATCAGTTACAATGTCACTTCAGAGTCTCAAATATAGAATAAAAGCAGACTAGGTTCATTTGCATCAGTTATCTCCCTAAAATTCATGCTCAGTTCTCTTATGGCATCTTGGGCATGAAGGATTGTATAGTAATGGATAGTATTAAGGAAAAAGAAGCTAGAATGTTGTTCATAATGCTGTCTAGTTTTGTTCAAAACATGCACTTAGTGTATCACGATTAATGATTACAATTGAAAAATGTTAACTAAAATGAACCAAAATCCAGTGAAAGGGGAAAGAAACTGAGATAACTCATGTTGAGTAGAATGACAAGAGAGTATCAAAATATAGAATGTTTTGCTGGTACACTTTTCTAAATCCTGCAATTGATCCATATACATAAAGGTTGAACCACGAAAAGTGTACTCTAAACCTCAGCCTGTTTAGATCGTGGAACTTAGCATTGAGGGAAATGGGATGCTCTGGAAATAATCTTCTCCATTATCAACTCTAGTGGAAGGCAAGAAGAAAGCAAAAACATGAACAGACAAAAAAGGGACGAGATTTATGATATACACATAAATTACATTTCTAGTTCTCAAGTTTTTTATTGTGCATGCAAAATGTTTTTCTAGAATTTAGTTTTGAATAATTTCAGCATCTCTTGTTTTCTGAATACTTCTCTCCCAATAAATTTCACACAAATGGAAACTTAAATTGCAAGTTTTATTAATAATTTGGTAATTATTACGAAACAAAGTTATCTTATAGGTCGTGCCAGTCAAACCATATTGTAAATTGAGTGTTGTATAATATAGGTCTAGTGAAAGGATCATTTGGTAAGAGGAGCTTGAGTGAATTTGAGCTAGAGTGAATTTGGGTGAGATATAGGAAAATTAAACTTTTTGGGGGTACCTGGAGTACCATAAGGCTGGTCTAAGACATAGGTACCTAGTATTTGGCGAATTTTGGTAGCCATTTTTTTTCAAAATGCATTTTTCTCTCTTCTTTTCGACCACACATTCTTTATTAAAATAATATTACATGTAAATAAAAAACTTTTCCTTATTTTTCAACCACACATTTCACATCAATTTACTATTCTAAAATGCAGTTTTACATAAAAATTATCAAATACCCCCTTAGTATTTGTCGTTTACAAAGTTTTTTAATTAAAAGTTCAAGCTGGAAACGTTAGGTAGCCTTGATGACGAATCAGTCCGGAAACTCTAAAATGATTGGTACACTAGGTAGACGGTTAGAGTAATTTGTCATGTTCAATGATTTTGAACATGTTCCTGATATGACCATCAATGCCACTGAAACAAGTGGGTGAGGCCAGTTTGGCTATTGGCGAATAAAAAGGAATCTTCTCTAAAACAGATCAGTTTTGCAATTAAAGAAGTATTAAAAGATGGTAACCAAGAAGGAAACTTTTAAGATGGATTAATTGTTCAGAAATTGCCTTTGGGGTTGATGAATATTACTCAATACTTCACAGAAAGAAAGTGTACACTTAAATCTGTACCTTTCAAATGTATTGATCTAAGAAACTTGAAAAGGTGTCTGGTAGATAATAAATTTTGTCATTTGTGTGCTGAAGAGATTGAATTATATGAATGCACTTGACTTCTATGCAAGAACCTTTTGCACAACAAGGTTTTTCCAGAGGAATATGCACGACGTGAATATCCTTAGTCTGTTAGCAATGTAAAAAAATTATCGAATTTGTGTGAGCAATACCAATTATAGGCCACAAAATGAGAAACATAAAGCATAAGTTATAAAGGCATCAAAAAGTGATAGTGCATACTATTGATTTTTGATACCGAGACAGAATTGTTTTCTTGCTAGTATGCAGTTTGGACTTCATTAAAAAATGAAAAATGTGACTGAAATGCCAAAATATTAGTGAAGATCTATGAAAATGTTGAGCGTAGAAATGATAAAACCTACCTCCCTTTGCCTCAGCCTTCGATTTTCCTCCTCCAGACGTGAAACCTCATTCTCGAGCTCATGCTGGTAAGCCTGTCAATCAAGAAATCAATATCCAGTAGGCGACACAAAAAAGGGAGCATTTACGCATAAATTAAAAATATGAAAGCTTACTTTCTTTCTAGCTCGTGACCTCGCTGCTGATTCCCGGTTCTTGATCATCCTTTTTAGCCTTCTTTCACCAATCTTTTCAATCACACCGAGGGGAACCCTCCGTCGTCTACGACTTTGTGTCCCCAACATAGTGGCCATCAAATTCAATGGAGACATGACTAGTTCCATTTCAGAATAAACTGCATTCATCACCGGACTTCCGCCTGTAGGAATAGGCTGGCGATTCAGATGGCCGGGCATAAAAACAGGCTGCAAGCTTTGTTCCTGTTGTGCAGGATCAACAATATGATGTATGGAGCCTGGATTTATTTTCAGGGCAGATGACTCGGTGACCACCCCAGCCTTAATCAAGAAGTCCTCCAATGTCATATCCCCTAGACTGTCCTTCCTATCTAGACTACTCTGGCCCTGTTGGATTTCCTGCCAAAGCTCATCAACACTGTTGTTCAGATCACGGGTTAGCCCAAGGCTGAATTGTGGATTCAAAGAACTGTCCGGTTCAGGCCGATCAAAGGCTGGCTCATAATCAACAACCTGCATTGCTTGATTGTTAACCCCAAAAGTCCAGACATTCATGAGTAATTCATCAACATTCAAGCTACTTGGAGGCTCCCCTAAGTCCCACAGTTGGTTCTTAACTTCACCAAGATCTAAACCAGACAAGGATCCCCAACCGGCCATCAGATTAGAATTTGGGTGGGCACCACCAAATAGTTCAAAACTATTGATATCACCCCCCTGTAATCCCATTCTTTTGGTTTACATCCAACAGCCCTTCTCTATTTCGACAAACTTCAAATTACCATCTGCATAAAAATGAATCCTGAAACGCCCTTTAATCAAACATAGCAAATTAACTACAAAACACAAACGATTACACGAAACAATTGTAAAGAAAATAAGAAAAGAAAAGCACATCAAATTGAAGAAAACTTTGAAAACCAAAAGTAAATAAATTAAATTTGAAACATACATTCAATCTGTAAAGAAAATAAGAAAGGACAAGCCCATCGAATTGAAGAACATATCAAACACAATTAATCAAGAAAAACATGCAAAAAAAAAAAAAAACCCCAAGAAAATGCATGAACAATAGAGTAATGGTGGAGAAACAGACTTACAAGAAGAATAAGAAGAATCCAAGAAAAAGAGAGACTTATAAGAGTGCGATTTTTGTCTGCATGCAACAACCATTGTTGAATCCCAGAAAAAGAGACTTGACTTATAGGAGTGAGAATTTAGTCTGCATGAGCAACTACTGGGGTCCAGCATTTGCTAAATGAGAACAAAAAAACCCCCTGCAAAAGAAATAAATACCATGGGAAAGAGAGAAAAATCTATTCTCCCCTAATGAGTTACATAGATGTCATAAAGATGTTCAAGTCGCCTGGGATGTGCTCATAACACTGTTCGAGTTTGATCAGACCCACGTTGAGCTTTTGACAGACGAACCAGGCAGCTCAGTGATGCCTACTGGTGCCAACATCAAGAAGGCATTGGATTAACTGGTTGAACATTCAAAATCCCGTGAAATCCTATTGTTAACTATTAGAGGCCATGGAACATTGACTAATTTGTGAAATCCTGCGAAAAGAGAAGAAACCATTATTTCTTGTGATTTCAATATCATAACTAGTAAGTTTACATTCATTCATGATCAAAAAACCATGACAGTGTTGAAGTTGATTTTTTCCGGTAAGTTACAAGGACCCTAATCACATTCCATATTGGTTCAGATTGACTTGTGGGCTTCTAACTAATTAGACACTTTCTCCTTGCAAGTTCGATTTTAAAAGTGATTCTAGTCACTGTGATGATAACAAATGGTATTAAAGAGTGCACCCTTTTGGGGATGGCTCTTCTTGTTAAGTTCAAATATGAAACTAACAAAACAGATAACTGCCTATTCCTCCAAAAAAATCATCAATTGAAAGGCAGTCAATCCTCTCGTTCCTTATCAACCTATTTGATATGTAGTATTGGATAAGAATGACTTATAATGGACAATAGTTTTTTAGCCTGTATTTATTTATTTATTTTTATTTTTTTACAGTCTAACTTATTATAAAAGCTATAAATAAAATTAATACAATGTTGGTGAATATTTCTTTCAAAATTTTAACTCTTGTTAAGAGTTCATGTTGTAGGTGTGGACTTTAGGCATCTAGAAACTGCTTGCCAAAAAGTTCAAGTTTCACAATCCTCCATAATTCCTGCCCCAACAGGCCTGGAAAAAAATAATAATAATAATAATAATAAAAAAAAGAGCAAGTCAGGTCTTCCGGAATCCCTAACACTGAATCCAATATTCGAGTTCTGCACTAGCCTAAACTCGTACCATTTCAATCAATACTACAACATACCTCATCCTTGACAAACATTAAAACATCAGATATTGGCACAGACATGAAACTTCAACAGATGTGCAAATGAAGGAGAATAGAGGAAAAGCTTGTGGAGCATCTAGCAATGCAGCGCCAACTAGGGACAGATCAATCCAAGATCGGCCATAAAATTTCAAATAGGCTACTACATGGAAAAAAAAAAAAAAAATTTACGCATAAAAAACTGATTTTTTATCAAAAAAAAATAAAAAATACCTTTAAAAAAAATTTGTTGGGCCTGGTTGGGGGGGGGGGGGGGGGTAATTGTGGCGGGGGGGGGGGGGGGGGGGGGGGATTACAGCCCTGCGCTGCCCTCCCACCAAAATCCGTCCCTGGCGCCAACGGTATTGAACGAAAATTCAGGTCCTTTGAGAAATAAAGAGGTTGTGATTATAGATAGAAAGATTTGGAGGATGAAGAGTTTCATGCAGCATCCTTTTCTATTCAGCAATGATTACAATTCCAACGCAATTTTCTTGTGCTATCAAAATACTTGAAGAAATTATGAGGGTGTTTGAGTTACGTTATTTTGGTAATAATATATTCTTAAATAGTATATTGATGAAAAATGTGTGATTAAAAAATAAAGAAAATTTTTTGATTTACGTATAATATTATTTTATTAAAAAATGTGTGATTGAAATGATGTTAAATACTGTTTAAGAATACATTTTTTTGAAATAATATGACTCAAACATGCCCTATATATAGTCATATTTATAATGGTCTTTATTATAATAAAAAGATAAATAAATAGGTAAATGACTTTGAATTTTAACACGAAACCCAAAAAGAACAGACTGAGGCTGAAGGTAAGCTTTTAGGCCTCTTCATTTTCTTGTAAAGGGCACTGTGAACTTTAATTAAAGAATTAAGTTAAATGACCACATTTGTTGACACAAACGTTGACACACCTTTAACAGTTGAGGTGTGGGTCCCGCGCCAATAAAATAATGCCAACCTCCTCATGTGAGTGTGTTGTGTCAACTGATGTGTCAACAAATGTGGCTATGGAGCACGACCCCTAATTGAATTCTATATTGTCAATACGAAGGGCAGCAGTTCTACACGTGATTTTAGTACATCAATCCAATCATAGTATTTCTATGAAAATGATTCTCAATAGAAAGCAGTTCTACACGTGATTTTAGTACATCAATCCAATCATAGCATTTCTATGAAAATGATTCTCAATAGAAATCAACGTTATTTATGCTCTTGTCTGCCCACAATTGATAAAGTCTGTAATGTTTTTAAGAATATCCATCGTGAGCTTTAAAACCTTGAGCATTTTAAACAAATTTCACACTCAACAATTTATTTATTTATTTATTTATTTATTTTGATTTGACAAATGACTTGATATAGTAAAAAAGAAATCTTTTTCATAACTTCACTTTCACAAACTTTTTTTGATTGAAATAAAAGTTCGATCTCTTTTCTTAAGACAAAGTAAGCATCACTCATTTGCAGCTCTTCAACAATATGTTTTCACAATGTTGCATTTTTTATATTCAATAAATCCCGGACTATGATGTTAACATGGATTAATATTATTTCATAAGCATAGGCCGATGAACGAAATAAGTACAACAACTAAGTTCATCAGCTACACCCGACCCAATTGTATTCCCTTATGGATGACTTGAATCTTGGTCCGTTTACCCCTTTAATGGTCCAACTTAAAGCCTAACTCTAGAGTATATATATGGTTATAAATCTAGCCACTTTCTTATGATGTATTGTGTGACTTTGAGAGAAGAAAAAGAGAATCCCGGTTGTCCCCTTTTGTGTGAGGAAAAAGGTCTCTAGAAGTGTCCAGAACGCTTGTATAACGTGTGCAATTGGTGATTCCTTCATAGTATACTTTTGTAGTGTCTTCTTCCAACCTTTGTGGCCACAAATCATCATCTTTTCTTGTCCTACGTGGGTAAGATTGAATAGCAATCGATGTGAATCAATTAGTTGTGGTTTGGAGCCGATTGGATTGGTTGTTGATTGAGAAAGGTGCATTGGACTAAGCCCGAAAATCACCAATTTGAAGATCTTTCAAGACAACTACCACAAGAATTGGTATCAGAGCTTCAAGGTGGTGATTTTGGCTCTTGAAATATAACAAAAATCGTCCAAAAATCGGCAAAAATGAACCAGAAATCAGATCGAAAAAACTGTCAAAATTAGTCTTCGTTTTTAGCATTTTCTGAACAATACAGAAGGAGTTTTGGGAAACGGAGACCACTGGCGTGATGTGTAGGTAGAGGCAAACCTGCAGGGCGGCGCGTGTCATTTGACGGTGGCGCGTGAGGCTTATGCGCAGAGGGAAGGATCCGCGCGTGAGGGTACTTGAATTGGAATTTCGAGGAGGTCCCTTCAGGCAGTTTGTTCCTAACATTATTTCTAACATTTTTTGTGTTGAAAGTTTTTTGTTTTAGGGCCTACAAAAGGATCTAGACAAAGTTGTTCTTCGGGCATTCGGGACTCGATTGTGATTTTTTGGTTGTTGCAGTTTCCAGAAACTTTAGGACGAATAGTGGTGGTCTTAAAATGATACATTTGCAATTCTCGTAATTTACGGACTCAAATAGGTCCACTTTGATATATTGGCTTAACTCAATTTAAATTTCAGCATTAGCAGATCATCGTGTGGGGTGATCGTTAGGATTGTGGGTGGTCATTGCTTGGCAACCATTGCTTGTGCTAAAAAATTTAGGAATTATTTGCCCTATTTTTGAAGAGTTGAATTTTGATTGCAAGTTGGTAGTTGATTTTGTGCTTATCTGTCATATAGTCGCTGTGTGAGACTTGTTGCGTGAAAATTTGAAATTTTTGTTTATATACCTTCGTGTTTGCATTAATTATCCAATTAGAACACCTGGACTTGACCCGTTTGAACATTCTCTTGATTTAAGATCGTGAATCTTACAAAATCCTGAGAATCTAGAACGATGTATATTGCAACTTTAAGATTGCTTTGTGTGACCTATTTGTGACTTGGTTGTTCTGTTTTTTATTTTCTCCTTAAAAACGTCTTCACACTTTGAAGTTGGAATTTTCAATGGGAAAAGGGATTTTTCAATTTGGTAAGAAAAGATGAAGGGTATTTTGGTCCAACAAAATGTTTCAAAGGCCATAGATGGTAAATTTCCAGCAAATTTAACAGAAGTACAAAAAGAAGAGTATGATAAAGTTGCATGCACTTCAATTATTTTACACCTGTCTAATACTGTTTTGAGAAAAGTAGGAAAACTGGATCCTACAAAACAACTTTGGAAAAAATTGGAGGACTTATATTTGCTTAAATCAACTCCTAATAAATTGTACTTACTTAAATGATTTTTCAGTTTCAAAATGGATCCTTCAAAAGATCTTGATGACAATCTGGATGTCTTTAACAAGTTAGTTCAAGACATCGTTAATTGTGATGAAAAGGTATCTGAAACGTATAAGACTATTATCCTACTTAATTCCATGCCTGATTCATATAGAGAAGTTAAGAATGCAATTAAGTACGGTAGGGATACCTTAACACCCGAGATTGTTATGGACTCACTTAGGAGTAATGAGATGGAGATTAAGACTGAAAAAGAGGATAGTATGAGTGGCGAGTTACATATGATGAGGAGTAAGATAAAGTTTAAGCAAATGAATTTGGGCAAAACTCAAGACGGTAATGATTCGAGTAGTGACTTGAGTGATGAGGGTAATAAGAAGAAGGGTAAGGGAGGAGATAAGTCTAGTGGTAGAAGGTGTTACAGTTGTGGTAAGTCTGGACACTTTATTAGGGACTGTCCCAAGAAAAAAGATAAGCTGAAGGGTAAGATGAGATGTGAGACGAATTTGGTTGAAGGGTCAAGTTATGACCTCAGTGAGGTTTATTAAGTGTAAACCTAATCACTGCATATGCATTTGTGTGTGATCCTTTTCTGCATGTGTGTGATTGTTTAAATTTTGCTGCATGATTATCTGCTACATCTCAATGTATTTGATATGTGCATTTGCATGAATTTGAGACATTAGGATTACCTGGTGTAATTGTTTGCATGCATAGTGAGTTAGGATGCATTAGCAGTGTATTGTGTGTCTTTTGGTGAGGTGGAGTATAGATGCCTAAGGGTACATGGTGGTTTGTACCGGGGATGTGGAGATGTGATCAAATGTCTAAAATCCTTTATCTGGAAAGAGACCCTGATCAGGTGGAGTATGAGAGAGGCACTTTTATCACTTCTGTTAGGTGGAGACCCATTATCCACGTAGGTTGGGAGAAGTGATGTGGAGATAGAGGATTATCCCGTGGACTTAGGATCTATTGTGACTTGTCAGTTAGACATGAGTTGAGTGATCTGTCTAGTGAGCTTGGTGGACGATGAGAGAAGATATGTGTTCTCGAGGTGTGAGTAACACGGAATGAGATATGATAAGTGTGGTGATATCTTTTCTTAGGGTCATTTATGCATGTGTTGCATATGTGGTTAATCGTGGTTTGATTGACTTGGTGTTAATCTATGGTTCTATGTGAACATGTTTCTGAAAAGATTTGTATGTGTTATCCTATAGTATATCGTCATCGCACGTATATTTGCTCTTGATTGTTTACTGTTAAATATTTGCTTCTACTTGAGTGTTTTTGACCTTGGCCCCAGTGAGTACATGAAACAGGTATGGTATATGTTTCATGTTGGAAACACGAGGTAAGGTCTGTGATATAATTTTATTGGTTACCTTGATTATGCAAGTGCTAACTGTGTGTTTTGATTACTTGCAGATTTATTGGGTATCAAGGTAGAGATTTGTTGGGTTTTTGATATCCAATAAATCTCGGGCTATGATGTTAACGTGAGCTAATATTATTTGCTAATATTATTTCATAGGCATAGACCGATGAATGAAATAAGTTCAATAACCAAGTCCATAAGCTACACCCGTCCCAATTATATTCCCTTATAGATGGTTTGAATCTTGGCCCGTTTAAATGGTCCAACTTAAGGCCTAACTTTAGAGTATATATATGACTATAACCTAGCCACTTTTTTATGATGTATTGTGTGATTTTGAGAGAATAAAAAGAGAATCCCGGCTGCCCCCTTTTGTGTGAGAAAAAAGGTCTCTAGAAGTGTCTAGAATGCTTGTATAACGTGTGCAATTGGTGGTTCCTTCATAGTATACTTTTGTGATGTCTTCTCTTAAACTTTGTAGCCACAAATCATCATCTTTTTTGTCCTACGTGGGTAAGATTGAATAGCAACCGAGGTGAATCAATTGGTTGTGGTTTGGAGCCGATTGGACTGATTGTTGATTGAGAAAAGTGCGTTGGACTGAGCCCAAAAATCACCGATTTGAAAATCTTTTAAGAGAGCTTTCTCAACACACAATATAACAATCAATTTGGCAATAGTATAATAATGAATCGAGACCTACATTATACTCTATTTCACAAAGTGGGACTCAAAAGTATGCAATGAAGGACTTGAACACACAAACATGAATAATTAAATGCGTAACAAATGCAACTGGATAAATGAAAATTCTGCAGAATGGGTGTAAATAAATAATTTTTGAAAACGGTGTTCTCAAAGGACATGCCTGTTATGAAAGAACGTGTCTCAAATTTCAAACAAAATAAAAAGTTACAGAAAATTATGTGCTAAAATAAGTCTCATTGATTATAACAATCCAGGATTAACATTACCAAATTGGTCCTAAAACTCCACGTTGAGACCATAATATGTACATATGAGAAAATATTTACTGCAGAACGCAGCCAATGGACTTTAGAGTGAGTATTCTATACGGAAAAGTGTAGGAAACTAGCACTAACTAATGAAATGTAGACTGAAATACAAGTTGTCAATCTTCATCATTCTCATATAGGGGATGAGCTGGTTCTGCGAAGTTGATACGTCGGCTCTGTTGCTGGTTTGCTAGGCAACAGCTTCTCCGCCTCCTGCAAGTTTTTACGTTGATAACTAAAATTCCGAATTGAGTTTTTAAATATGGAAGAATGGACAAATGCATAAAATCAGGTATTCAATGAGACAGGTGACTCTTTTATCCAGATAATATAAAGACAGGCTTCCCTAAAAATTGATAAATGATTCAGATAAGAATAAAAACAACTCCGTTTTGGTCTTACTCATGTTCCCAAGCATTCCTAGTCTTATGATCACTAATTGCACATTAGAAATGTTGAAACGCTAGTATCGCTACTTCAGCGTGTGACATTTGGTATAGTCTATTACGCTCGAAGACTCAAGCGTGTGACATTTGGTTTAGTTTGTTACACTTGAAGACGTATTACTGGGAACTATGACCATCCATGTTTACAAGAAAAGCATCCTATGAAGTGCAAATGCAATTCAAACAAGGAGGGGGAGGGGGGATAAAAAAGGTTTAGAATACGCTTGATAGATAAAAAAGGTTTTATACAGAAGGAACGATAATAAAATGAGAGAAAACGCACATGAATTTCAGCTCTCTATTATTTCGTAAAAGTTATAGACAATGGCAGAAATTTGGTTACAAGACCACATCTGTTTATAACACTCGAAGACTTGAGGCTACATATCTGATATAAAAGTTTAATAAAGAGTGCTTCAAGCATATTGATTTCTTATTCGCAGTTTGCAAAAATTCTAGGCAAATAAATTAAAAGCACATTTTGATACACAACATTATTACTTTACAAGCAACATTTTTCCAATATATAATCATTAACCAACAAATTGATTACACCGGTTAATGCTATTTCGAAGACTTGAGGCTACATATCTGATATAAAAGTTTAATAAAGAGTGCTTCAAGCATATTGATTTCTTATTATACTCATTCGCAGTTTGCAAAAATTCTAGGCAAATAAATTAAAAGCACATTTTTATACACAACATTATTACTTTACAAGCAACATTTTTCCAATATATAATCATTAACCAACAAATTGATTACACCGGTTAATGCTATTTTTTTATTTTCCTTTTCTTTGTGTTTTTTCTTTTGGTGTTGCCCCGAATAAAAAGACTCAAAGCTAAAGAGAAGAGAAACTGAATTTTTTTGGAAAAAGGCAGTAAATTTAATTTGATCTTAAAAAATGACACCATGAAATGGTAGGGTTCCTCTTCATGTTTAGAAAAATTTTCATGTAATTCTTGTAATCTCTATCTTTTGAGTGTATCGAAATTATTATTCTGTTAATACCACTCTATTTTGATACACTGCCAACCAGCTACATGGCTAGAACCCCGACCATTGCGTTCATTCTGAACCTTTCACGTATCACATTACTATGTTATGCTTAGTTCTTTATATATATATATATATATATGGAAGGCAAGAAATAAGCCAAAACATGAAGGAAAATGAGGGGAAAGTAGGAAGGCAAGAAGTAAGCCAAAACATGAGGGAAAATGAGGGAAAAACTTTATCATATGGACCTAACATTTCTATTTCATAACGTTTCAATTAAAATTTAGTTTTGAATAATATCAGCATTACTTGCTTTTCTCCCAATTAGTTGCACTCAAATGGAAACATACCAGGATAAATTGCAAGATTTATTAATTATTAGATAATTAACACCAAAAAAAGAAAAAAGAAGAAGGTCTATTTACAGTTTCTACCAGTCACACCATATTTTTAGTGAAACCAACATACTCTAGGACTTTGGATTAAGTTTGTGTGAGTCTGTGAGATACGGGACTGAACTAACTTTTCAGGGTGCCTAGCATCCCAGAAGGCTGATGTAAAATGAAAATTTATGTAGCCAAATATTTGGTGAAATATTTGTTGTTTACCAAAGGTTATTCACAAAACTCCAAGCTGGAAACATTAGGTGTCGTTAGGTGGTTTCAAAGGCATACCTGTCAAAGGAAAGTTATGATGTTTGGTATACAAGGTAGACAAGTAGATTCATGTATCGAGCTCGATAATTTTGAAAATTTTCCCATTATGACCATCATCAGAGGATACTGAAACAAGTGATTGATATTAGTTTTGAAATTTGGAGAATAGAAAGTAATCTTTTGAACTGATTGATTCTATAATTGAAACTAGGATAAAAAGATGGTAACCGAGTGAGCTAAATTTATAACCATTCCCCCTTGGAAGCGGATACTTCTTTTCGTTTCTTATTATGCCATAAATTTTCTGCTTCATTTATTAGTTCTATGATTTGTTTATGCTTTCGTATTCTAAGTTGATTGAGTAAATGTAAGCACTACCAAGAAAGCCGCAAAAAGCAACATAAAGCAGAAGCTATTAAGAAACGTAGAACGAAAAAATGTACAATACTAATAGAATTGCTTTAGTTGATAGTATGCAGTTTGGGACATCATTAAAAGTGCAAAATGCTAAAACAATTATGGAAATACATGAAATCTTGATCATAGAGATAAATAAGTCCTACCTTCATGCGCTTAAGCTTTTCAGTTTCCAACTTCAGACGCGAAAGCTTGCTCTCCAGCTCTTGCAGGTAGTTGGCCTGCCGATCAACAAAGCAATATCCAATCGTATGGTAGAATTAAAGAAAATAATAGGCATAAATTAAACGGACGAAATCTTACCTCCTTCCTTGCTCGTGATCTTGCTTCCTTAATCACGGTCATCCTCTGCTGCCTCCTTGCTCGCGCCCTTGCGGAAGATTCCTGGTTCTGTGTGTCCGATGCACTTCCCATCAAAAAGGAAGCCATCATTGTATCTATCATCCTATTTTCAGCACCAGGAACAGGCTGTTGAACCGGATGGCCAGGCATAAAAACCGGCAGCATGTCTTGTTGCTGTTGTGGAATGGTTGGAATTTGATATTGCATCCACTGATTTTGCCGCGGAAATGCCATATGACCGACCCCTCGTAAAGTCGAGCTCGAACTTATCATCTTCCCAAGAGTGAATGTCCAATCCTCATCAAAAGTTTTCTTCTCAGCCTCAGCAGCTCTCACATTCTCAGGAAGTTCATCAAGATTTTTGGGTTTACCTAAATCACCCAAGTAGTTCTTTACCACATCATACAAGTCTCCCTCCGCACGACTCGATTCCGGATTCAAAGAAGTGTCCAATGCGGGTTGATTTACAGTGGACTCATTATCAACAACCCCCCTTGGTTGATTATCAGCCTCAGCAGCAATCACATTCTCAGCAAGTTCATCAAGAATAGTGCTGCTACTCTCGGATTTTCCTAAATCACCCAAATGTACCACATCAAACAAGTATCCCTGCCCGAATATCTGGTTATATTTGGGGACCCGATTGTGAGTTTCGTCTTCACCAGAGCTATTACTACCCTCGGATTCCATTCTTTGAGTAACCAACATACAAACTTCAATTAACTTTTTCCAAGAATTTTATCCCAAAATCCCTTTAATCAAAGAACAAACAAATAACCTTCTAAACTCAAAAGATGGAAAGAAAAAAACACATTCAACTTCATGCTTTAAAGGAAATATAAAAAACAAAACCCATCAAATTCAAGAACACGTGAATCACTACTAATCAAGAAAACGTGCAAATTGAAACCAGATTAAACCCAAGAAACTGCATGGAGGAACTCAGAAATGGAAAAAGAAGAGGAGAAGCAAATTAACTTGAAGAATTAGAAGAATCTTATAGAGAGAGAGACTTCTTAGAGTGACATTTTAGTCTCCATGCAGACTGCACCCAGTGTGTGTATATATATTTCGTCAACCTGATTTTTAATTGCTTTTCATCGGTGAATATTTCATGAATGAAATGACTTCATGTAACTAATTTAAATTGTTGAAAACTAACTGTGCTTTCCCACCATTGAAAACAGAATAAGAGCATATTTTTGAGTGTGGTAAACTTCTTTCAAATGAAAAGGGTAAGGTTATGTTTTTATAATTTAAGTTTGGATAAATAAGTACTTATAAGTTGTAAGTAAATTTATTATTGGTAGATCACATTTCTTTTAAGCCAAAAGAGTACAGTAACTTACCAAAATACCAGGTAGATAAATACTTTTAATTGATGGTAATTTGTTATTTTATTACGGATAAATACATATGAACATAGGGGGTAACCCAATGTTGTCTCCCTTCTCACAATATATGGCGGGCCTAGCATGTATTTAAAAATGATAGCCCGTGATCTCCACCACTGTTGTGAGTAGTAGGTAAAAGATTCGGTAAAAAAAGTCGGTACATGTAACATTGTCCTTTTATTATTGAAGGGAAATTGGTCTTTTCCTTGATCAAGTATTTTTTGATGGGTAATTTTATTCATACCACAATTTTTATTTACATCCCATTTTAATTTCAATTAAGGTTCTTAATTTTTACTCATCATAGTACTTATGTTCCTAGGGATGTCAATTGGGCCGAGCCGGCTCGTGGCTCGCCCGCTCGGCTCGTGAAAAATGGGCTCGTGGGCGGCTCGGGCTCGTGATTTCACGAGCCCAAGCACGAGACGAGCGGGCCTCGCCCGTAGGCGAGCTGAGCCAGCTCGGCTCGTCGTGTAGACGAGCCGCTCGTGGGCGGCTCGTTTGGACGAGCCACGAGCCACGGGCTCGTGGCTCGTCAAAAGTTCACTGAACTTTTTTTCCCCCATTTTTTTACTATAAATACCCCCTTCCCCCAAAATTTTTTTTTCATATCAATCTCTTCCAAGATTACAACTCTCTCAAGTCTCAACTATCTTTTATTATATCAATTATCGAGTTTTTACTCTCTTGTGCTACAAAATATACAATATCAATTCAATTTTTCCAGTTTATTAGTTACAATTTCAATTCATCTAATTCTCAATTCTCCCAATCTCATTATATTTATATTCATCTAGTCAAAATTTCATCATAAACAATCACAGAAATGGATCAACGTTTATTTGTTGAGAGTTTGTTCGATACAGGATGTGAGCCATTGCCACATCATGGAGAATCGCCTAGTATGCCGCAAAGTCAATTTCCAAATGAATTTGTCGGTCTAAATGACGTACCGATACCTGAAGATGTTCACATTTACGGTCAGGGAAGCCACATTCCAATTGATTTGGATGATATTAATGTTCCCGAAACGGAACATGAAGATGAAGATCAGCAATTAAATATCCCAGATGCGAGGGGAAAGCGAAATGCCAAAAAACAAGCAAAATGTTGGGATCACTTTAAGTTGATTTCAACAGGAAAAGTCGTTGATGGCCTTGCAGAATCTAAAGCAGTATGTAAATACTGCCAACAAAGATTGGCATGACAAAAAGGAATTGGTACCACTCATCTCAACCGTCACTACAAATCATGTGCAGCCAGACATGGACTTCTTCCAGCTGGTCAAATACAATTACAATTTGGCAGTCCAGGCGTCGGTTCTACAACTTCACCCCTATCCACGTGGGTGTATTCGTAGGACGAGACTCGAACTGGAATGGTGAAATTTGTTGCCGCCACTGAGTTGCCTCCGGCTATTGCAGACAACCAACACTTTGTCTCGTTCGTGAAAGAATATTTACAATCGAGATACGTTGGGGTAAGTCGAAACACTCTTCGTGCCGATACAATAAATTATTTCAATAATTCAAAATAACAATTAATTATGGATTTGCAACAATATGGGGGTGTTATATCCTTAACTTCTGATATATGAGAAGGGATTAATAAAAGAGCATATATAGCTGCAACCGCACACTATATAGATGACACACCCCGCCCCGTATAACACCACGAGATCCGGACGTGGCATGCGCCGATGGTAGATACAACTAAAAGTCGGACCCACCATCAAGGCTACTATAAATACAATATATCGCTTTTTACACATTATTTTTCTAATAAAATTTCGGCATTATCTCCCCTGTAAACAGGACTAACCAACCTGTGATCAATTTCACACAAATCCCAAACTATAGCATAGCACAATAAAGATAAGCCGAAATCTCCACTTTTATCAAGAAATACAATGAAATATACATATGGATACATAATACATAGTGAGCCCCACAACTAACTACAAGTGATGCAAAATCACATTTAAACATGAACATGCGTCCCAAAACACTGACTACATGTTCTATGAAGTGAGTCATACTAACAAACTCTGTCGTGTGGCTCTAACTCCAAAATCAAGGCTCAACTCCAAAAGATGCCCAAATTCTCAACTGCTGCCTGATAAGGAAAAACGTGGAAAAATATATGAGTTGATAGCTCAGTGAGTGGAGAAGTTCA